GCTTAGCCGAACTCGTCCTCACACTCAACAACTTCTCTTTCAATTCCTCCCACTTCCTACAGACAAAGGGGGTAGCCATGGGTACCCGCATGGGCCCAAGCTACGCCTGCCTCTTTGTAGGTTACGTGGAACAATCCCTCTTCCGTACCTACACTGGCCCTAAACCCCACCTCTTCCTCCGTTACATTGATGATTGTATCGGCGCCGCCTCGTGCTCCCACGAGGAGCTCGAACAGTTCATACACTTCACTAACACCTTCCACCCCAACCTTAAGTTTACCTGGACCATCTCTAACACCTCTCTCCCCTTCCTGGACCTCTCTGTCTCCATATCGGGCAACCACCTAGAAACCGATATTCATTTCAAGCCCACCGACTCCCACAGCTACCTAGAATACTCCTCCTCCTACCCACCTTCCTGCAAAAATGCTATCCCCTATTCCCAATTCCTTCGCCTCCGCCGCATCTGCTCTCAGGATGAGGCATTCCACTCCCGTACATCTCAGTTGTCCTCGTTTTTCAAGGACCGTAACTTCCCCTCCTCGGTGGTCGAGAACGCCCTCAACCGTGTCTCCCACATCTCCCGCACCTCATCCCTCACACCCCGTCCACGCAATAAAAACCAAAAAAGAATCCCCCTCGTCCTCACGTACCACCCCACCAACCTCCGGATCCAACGCATCATCCTCCGACACTTCCGCCATCTGCAATCCGACCCCACCACCAAAGACATCTTTCCCTCCCCACCCTTATCTGCTTTCCAGAGGGACCACTCTCTCCGTGACTCCCTTGTCCGCTCCACACTCCCCTCCAGCTCCACCACACCCGGCACTTTTCCCTGCAACCGCAGGAAGTGCTACACCTGCCCCCATACCTCCTCCCTCACCCCCATCCCAGGCCCCAAGAAGACTTTCCACATCAAGCAGATGTTCACCTGCACATCTGCCAATGTGGTATACTGCATCCGCTGTACCCGGTGTGGCTTCCTCTACATCGGGGAAACCAAGCGGAGACTCGGGGACCGCTTTGCAGAGCACCTACGCTCGGTTCGCAACAAAGAACTGCACCTCCCAGTCGCGAACCATTTCAACTCCCCCTCCCATTCCTCAGACGACATGTCCATCCTGGGCCTCCTGCAGTGCCACAACGATGCCACCCGAAGGTTGCAGGAACAGCAACTCATATTCCGCTTGGGAACCCTGCAGCCCAATGGTATCAATGTGGATTTCACAAGTTTCAAAATCTCCCCTCCCCCCACCGCATCCCAAAACCAGTCCAGCTCGTCCCTGCCTCCCTAACCTGTTCTTCCTCCCACCTATCCCCTCCTCCCACCTCAAGCCGCACCTCCATCTCCTACCGACCAACCTCATCCCGCCCCCTTGACCTGTCCGTCCTCCCTGGACTGACCTATCCCCTTCCTAACTCCCTACCTACACTCACCTTTCCTGGCTCCATCCCCGCCTCTTCGACCTGTTTGTTTCCTCTCCACCTATCCTCTCCTCTATCCCTCTTCTATCCGCCTCCCACTCTCTCCCTATTTATTTCAAAACCCCCTTCCCCTCCCCCTTTTCTGATGAAGGGTCTAGGCCCGAAACGTCAGCCTCTCTGCTCCTATGATGCTGCTTGGCCTGCTGTGTTCATCCAGCCCTGCACCTTGTTGACACGATGTTCAGCCATCAGCTTTAGACTTTGCAGTTGGAGAGTTTAGCACGTTCTAAGTTGACCGATTCTCTACTCAGGAAAATAAGCTGTGGGGAGTACAGTCAACACAGTGTTTGGAGTTGGAAGGACACAGCAGATCAGGCAGCACCAGAAGTGCCGGAAAGTCGAAGCTTGAAGAAGGGTCCCGACCCGAAACGTCGACTTTCCTGCTCCTCTGATGCTGCCTGACCTTCTGTTCCCTCCAGCGCCACACTGTGTTATCTCTGACTCCAGTATCCGCACTTCTTGCTATCTCCGTGGGGGGAGTACAGTGACCTTTTTTTTGGGTCAGGTTATATATTTCAATTCTGAGGAGGGGTCACCGGACCCGAAATGTTAACTCTGTTTTCTCCTTCACAGATTCTTCCAGATCTGCTGAGCTTTTCCAGCAACTTCTGTTTTTGTTCTTCATATATTTCCCCCATTAACTCTCCTGTGTACTCAGCAGCTTGCAGTTTCAGATTGAATTGCTGGACCAAGATTCTAGTTTTCTAAAGTATAAACGTGGACAAAAGAGCTGAATTCCAGAGGTTGAGGAGAGAGTGACAGCCCTTGACATAAAGGCTGTCTTTAACCCAGTGTGGCATCAGGGGGTCCTGGGAAAACTGGAACCAATAGGAGTGTGTGGGGAAAGCTTTCCACTAGTTAGTCAGACCGGGCACACAGGAAAATGAAAACATCTCAAGAGGATGTTGGAGATACTCGGCATAATCTGTAAAGAGAGAAGCAGAGTAAATGTTGGAAAATAGATTTTGTTTATACACTTTTGACAAAGGTAGAGGAGAAGTAGGAGCCTATGGCGTAGATACCAAATGCAAAAGGGTTTTTAATTGTGGAGGAAGAGAGACATAACGAGGGTATAAATTAGAGTGTGAAAAGGGAGAGACTGTGGCATCATTAATGTTCATCTACAGCATCAACCAGAGGGCACTGGGTGACCTGGCAAACCTTTAGAAATGTCATGTTCTCGTAGAATCCCTACAGCGTGAAAAGAGGCCATTTGGCCCATTGCATCTGTACTGACCATCCAAAGAGCATTCCACTCAGATCTATTCACCAACCCTACCCATTGCATTTAGCACGGCCAATCCACCTAACCTGCGTGTCTTTGGACTGCGGGGGGAAACCCGCACTGACACAGGGCGAACGTGCAAACTCCACACAGACAGTCGCCCAAAGCTGGAACTCAACACAGTCCCTAGTACTGTGACGCAGCAGTGCTAACCACTCAACCATTACACCACATGTACATGCAGACAGTATATTGTCATTGTGGCATCTAAGCATTTTCATCCTCTGCGGCCTCATTCCCTCCCGATCTCTGCTCCTCTAATGCTTGCATATTCCCAAATTATAATCACTCTGCCATTGGCAGTTCTTGGGCCCTGAGCTCTGAAATATTCCTCCCACCTCCCACCAGTCTCTCATGGTACTGATTGAAACCCACCTCTTAGAGCAAACATTTGATTGCCCTGTGCTAATATCTCCTCGTGAGGCTCAGGGTCTCATTTTAAATATTTTCTGAATCAGCCTGTGTAAAAACCAATATAACACACATCTCTGGAGCATGCGGGATTAGAACGCACATTTCCTGGCTAAAAAAAGGTAAGGACACTGCCACAGCACCAAAACACCTGAATTTGCTTTGACTGATTATGCTCCTGTGAAGCACTATGGGATTAAAGGTGCGTTGTCAATCAAATCTTTTTGTACACTTAGTCATAGAATCGCAGAATTAATACAGCATGGAAAGAAACCATTCGGCCCATCGTGCCTGCACTGGCTCTCCAAATGAGTAATTTAGTGCCATTCTCCTAACCTATAACCCTTCTTAACCCTGCACATTGTTTCTATCTCAATAATTATCTTTAATGCCTCGATTGAACTAACTTCCACCACGCTCTCAAGTAGTGCATGCCAGACCACAACACTTCGTGTGTGGAAAAGTATTTTCTCACCTTGCATTCATTTATTTTGAAATCACTTTTAATCTATGCCCTCCCCTTCTTGATCCTTTCATGCATGGAAAGCATCTGTCTCTGTCTAGCTATAGGGAAGGGCTGAATAGGCTGGAACTATTTTCCCTGGAGCGTCGGAGGCTGAGAGGTGACATTTTAGAGGTTTAGAAAATCATGAGGGCTATGGATAGGGTGAATATTCAAGGTCTTATTCTCAGATGGCGGAGTCCAAAACTAGAGGGTATAGGTTTAAGGTGAGAGGGTAAAGATTTAAAAGGGACCTAAGGAGCAACCTTTTCACACAGAAGGTGGTGCGTGTATAGAATGAGCTGCCAGAGGAAGTGATGGAGGCTGGTACAATTATAACATTTAAAAGGCATCTGGATGGGTACATGAAGAGGAAGGGTTTAGAGGGATATGGGCCAAATGCTGGCAAATGAGACTTGATTAATTCAGGATGTCTGGTTGGCATGGACAAGTTGGACCAAAGGCTCTGTTTTTGTGCTGCAAATCTCTATGGCTCTATGTGTACGCACATCTCATGATTTTGAGAACCGCAAACAAGTTTCTTCTAAGCCCTCACCTCTCCGAGGAAAGCAGTCCCAACTTCTGCAATCTGTCTTCCTAAATAAGACTTATCAACTCTAGAACCATCCTGGTAAACCTCTTCTGCACTCTCTCCAATACATTCACATTATCCCTGAAATGTGGCACCTAGAACTGGACACAATCCTCCAGGTGAGGTTTAAGTGGTACCTAATATAAGTTCAGGATATACTCCCTGCTCTTATATACTACATCCCTGTTAAAAAGCCTGTTGACATCAAGTCATAGTACATGACAACAAATTCAAGAGCAAATTTTCAAAATTGGCACATATTATGAAATTTGACGGGGAATGCCCGAGGATTAAACCAATATACTGCAACAGGACATGGATAACTAAGAGAATAGGCAGACAAAATTAAAGATGCAATTTAATGCAAGTCATTGTTATCATTTAATGCAGTGGAAGCCTATTGGAATGAGGGAATAGGGGTTGGATAGGTCTAGGACAGAAGGGGGTTGGTCAGCTCAGTTGGCTGGGCAGCTTGTTTATGTTGTGGAGTGATGCTAACAATGTGAATTGAATTCCTCTACTGGTTATAGTTATAACGATGGACTCTCCTTCTCAATCTTACCCCCTACCTGACGGATGGTGACCCTCAGGTTGAACCACCACTAGTCATCACTTGTGAGTGAGTAGCCCTTTCATGATGTGACCTTTATGATAACTGGGTGTGAATGAGTTACATACATATAGAAAGTAATCAGTACAGTGCGAGTTTTATGGAGTGCAGTTAACTGAAATAAAGCTTCCACTAGAAGTGTCCATTCAAAATCAATTTAAATCCTTTTATCTCCTGGTGTGTAACTGAAGAGCAAGGTGACACATTTTGGCAGAAAGAATAGGGAGAGGCAAACTAGATTAAATAGCAGATTCCCAAAGTGTGCTATTTATGCAGAGATAGAGAGAGATGGAGATCTTATGCATTGATCTTTGAATGTGGACAGTCATGCTGACAATCTTTTGACATTTTGGATTTGCGAAATAGAGGTATTGAGTGAAAAAAGCAGGGAAGCTCTGCTCAACCTCTATAACACGCGTCCTATTCCACGTATGGTCCTAAAATCATAATGGTTGGGAGTAGGCCATTCAGCCAAGCAAATTTATTCTGTCAATCAGTAGGATCATAGCTACTCTGATAGTGACCTGAACTCACTGTAAAGATTCAGTCTGCATGAAAATTGCTCCTGTGGTGCACAAATCCTAGAGTGGGTACTGAGCCCAGGGGCTCCTGGCGCAGAAGCTAGAGCACTACTGCCCGAGATGGATCTGGCACAGAGGCTATTTAGTAGAATCGTTCCATGGATGAGGCATTTCAGTGGCAAGGATGGGGTTGGAGAAGCTGGAGGTGATCCCTTTGAAGTAAAGGAGGTTGAGGGAAGATATGATGGAGATGAAAACAAATATGACAGAGCTAGACAAAGTAGCTAACCTCAGAAGTGTTAGGGTACAGAAGGAGGCCATTCGGCCCATTACACCTGCACTGGCTCTCCAACTGATCATTGTAACTTAGTGCAAATCTTCAGTATTTTCCCATATCCTTACACATTGTTTCTATTTACACGACCATTTCATGCCTTATTGAAGGTCTCAAATGAACCTGCATCCACTACACCTCCAGGCAGCGCATTCCAGACCCAAACCTCTCATGTGAAAAGTTTCTTCTCATCTCATATTTCCTCCTTTTGCAAATGACTTTCAATTTGTGCCCTTGTGTTCTTGATCCTTTAGTGGGCGGGAACACCTCCTCACTAACTATTGCATACCAGATCTTCTCTTAAAAAAAACTTTCTCTCCATAGAAAACAGTCCCAATATTTTCAATCTATCTCAAAACTAAATTTCTTCACCCCTAGAACCATTTTTGCAAATCTCTTCTGCACTTTCTCCAATGTGTTCATGTCCTTCCTACAGTGTAAGACCAGATCTGTTCACAATACCAGCTGAGGTCTAACCAGTGTCTTATACAAGTTCAGCGTCACCTCCTTGCGCGTATACACCTGGGTCTCTCTGTTTCTGCACCCCGTTTTGAATTGTACCCCTCACCTTATATTGACTGTCCATGTTCTTTTTATGAAAATGATCAACTCACACTTCCCTGCATTGAACGTCATCTGCCACTGATCTGCCCACTCCATCAACTTGTTTATGCCTTTTAAGAAGATCCAATCTCATTGGCTGATGCTGACTCAGGGATACAAATAGACAATTTTGGGGAGGAGCTGCTGGGGAAGAATTTTGGGAAGAACTTGCTTTGATTTATTATTGTCACATACACCTAGGTACAGTGAAAACTTCTGTTTTGTGTGCAGTACAGACAGATTATACCAGACAAAGTGCAAACAAAGTGTAGCAGAACAGAGTGAAGAATACAATGTTATAGCTGCAGAGAAGGTGATCAAAGAGCAAGATCAACATTAAATTTAAACTTGGAGAGATCCGTTCAGAAGTCTAATAACTGCAGGGAAGAAGCTTTTCCTGAATCTGTCGATATGTGTGTTTAAGATTTTGTATCTTCGGCCTGACAGATGAGCTTGGAAGAGATTATAACTGGGGTGGGAGGGGTCTTTGATGATGTTGGCTGCCTTCCCAAAGCAGTGAGAAGTATAGGTGGAGTCAATAGATGGAAGGTCAGCTTGAGTGACGGTCTGGGCTGTGTTCACAACTGTCTGTGGTTTCTTACAGTCCTGGGCAGAGCGGTTGCCATACCAAGCCATGTTGCATCCAGATAGAATGCTTTCTATGTTGCATCTGTAAAAGTTGGTGAGAGTCCTTATGGACATGCTAAATTCCTGAGCCTCCTAAGGAAGAAGAGGTGTTGTTGTGCTCGAATTTGTTTTCTGCAGCAAGTGGTGACATGAAAGTTGTTGCCTACCAGGGCAATGGAAGCAAAGACGATCAATGATTTCAACAGAAACTGGGCACTTTAGGGATTTAAACTTGTAGGACTACTGGTGTAGAACTGAGTGACAGGATCAAATGTGTACAGAGAACCAACATAGACTCAATGGACTGGGTAGCCTCTTGTGTTGTAATAACTCTATGATGATGAAGGATCTTCTTATCAGTGTTTTCAGTTTTTATTTCAGATTTCCAACATCTTTCTAATTTTGGTTTTGTGTTGTTGAAGGGCAACAGGAGTCTTGGCTCAGTACCTCGTCCAAAGGATGGTGCCTACAACAATGCAGCACACCCTCAATAAAATACTGGAAGATCCACCTAGAGCTTGAGGTCAAGTCTCCAGTGGGAGGCATGGATCCACAATGTTCTGATTCCAAGTACAGGTAGCATCATCCACTGGTGCACCTCATTGTCGTCTTCAGTTTCATAGCTCATATTTATTCATATGTGGCATTTATGCAGATCTCCAGGGAGGGAAGGAGATTGGCATTGTAGCCGCCTCCACACTTCCCTCACCTCTTTCCTGCACACGCACACACAGACAAAAGCACTTAGAGCAATGATCATTGTTAGACAAGTGGAGGATTATCATCTCTCTGAGTAAGCACTCCTTGCCTCACCAAGATAGGCTAACTCAGCAGAGGCTATAAGGTTTAAAAACAAAGTTGCTGGAAAAGCTCAGCAGGTCTGGCAGCATCTGTGGAGGAGAAAACAGAGTTAACGTTTCGGGTCCGGTGACCCTTCCTCAGAACCTATAAGGTTTAAACCATTCCAAACCCACTGGATAAGACTTCCACTTATTTTCCATCTTTGCCAAGACACTTGAGTTAAATGCCAAGTGTGGGGCAGGTTTAGTACCTTCACTTCAGTCACAAGGATTCTGAGTGACAGCAATTTATTTCATCGGTAATTTGTGAGAAATCAAGAGAGCAAGGTGACCTCTACAAACTGACCAGCAATGCTGCTCGTTTCTCACTGGTTTTTTACGTTTACAGTATGCTTTTCCTTGTGGTTGATAGTAAGAGAACAATGGTTGGACAACCAGTAGAGGAGATAGATTGAATCAACTTACGTGCGCCCTGGAACTAGCGAAGTGAGTTGCTGAGAGGGAGACGATGATATAGTCGCAATGATAATAGGTCAGGACTTTGCTCTGGTGGAATGGGTTCTCGTCTCGCCATGCAGCTGGTGACATTTAAATTTGTTTAATGAATCTGGAATTAATAGCTATCTTTAATAATGTGATTATGAAGCTATCAATTTTCGTCTTAAAAACTGATCTGGTTCAGGGGAGGAGACCCGCCATTCTTACCTGGTCTGTCCTATACGTGACTTCAGACCCACAGCAGTGCGATTGACTCTTAACTGCCCTCTGGAAATGATGAGTAGACCATTCAGATCTTGGGCAATCATTGATGACCCACGAATGTTGGCCTTTCCTCCAATATCCTCGTCCCATGAAAGATTCAAAGAAAGAAGAGAGTGCTGGGAGATCTTTTACATCCACCTGAGGGAGCAGGTAGGTCCTTGATTTAACATCTCACCATAGAGATGGCACCTCTGACAGTGGGGCACTCTCTCAGTACTGCACTGGAGGGTTAGCCTAGATTATAGTGCTCAAGATTGAGACTTGAAATCCCAACTTTCTGACTCAAGGCAAAAGGTTAAGCACTAAGACATAGCTAACATCTAAATGCCCTCAATGCTATCTCTGCCCTTACCACAACTGTACTACGGTATACACAGATAGAAAAGAATGCATTTCAATAGCACCTTTTGTGACTTCAGGTGGTCCCAATAACTTTACAGCCAATAGAGGTCTTTTGAGGTGTGGTCAACATTACTATGTAGGAAGCGTAGCAACCAATTTTCGCACAGCATGATCCCACAAAAAGCATCTTCTTTGAAGTATCATCTGACGTTTAATTGTCAGTTTGGATACTGAGCAAAGTAACAGGTGCCTCACTGAAATAAAATGTCAAAATCTCCAGCTACAAAAAACTGAACAGGGCAACCCTACAGCATAAAGATTGGAAATGCTCCTTATGTAATTTTTCATAATATTGCGTTAGACTTTTAATTCATAACATCACTCAACAGCACTGTTATTCTGTGATAACTAAATGCATCAGTCTTATTTATAATTAAAGCATATCACTCTTTAGTTGCAGTGTTTTCTCTTGTGGAAGGCAAGATGTGGTTTTAGAGATGGACATCTACTTTAACTTATTTCTCAATCAACCCCAAGCATTGAATGGAAATTGTACAAGATTGTAGAATCCACAATGGTGATGTTCAAATTGGTCAGCAAGCAAATAATGTGATTGATTCATGCAAAAACAGCGATCCATTTCTACAAACAGTCATGTTGAAACCGATGCAGTGCATGTTTGGAATTTGAGGCATAAGTTAGCTTTTATTTAGTGCAATGGAATAAGCAGGTTCATGTTATTAGTATTTACTTGTTTGTTAATATTTTTTAGTTTGCATAGATATAATCTTTGGCAAAAGCAAAGACTTGTAATTATATTGTGCTACTCTTTGGAATGCCAGGTGCTGGCGGACAGAATAGGAGCCAATCTTTGCACACTCCTACAAACATTTATATACAGAAATGCATAAGACAAACATGCACTCCCCTTCCCCCAAACCATCGTCTCAGTCTGTTCCTTTTGCATGTAAATTTGATTTTTATTTTATTGTCATGTGTATTTTACAGTCAAAATACAATAAAATACAGCGAGAAGCTTTCATTCCTCGACACAAAACAGCACATGCAATAGGATTAGGGTTAGGGTTAGGGTTAATTTAAGAATAAAGAGAAAAAGAGAAAGATGTGGCTTGAAGAGAGGCCAACAGTCCTGAGCCAGCTCATCACCGCCAACGATACCTGCGCTGCTGTCCCTTCACCACAGCTTTGTCACTGTCTGCACCAGACCCAACTACATTGAAGTCGTCAATCCTCAGGCACCATCTTTGCTGCTGGTCCCGATACTCCTCCACCACCACCTCACCGCTGTCTGCGCCTGGGCAACCAACATCAGAGTCTATCGCCACTGGGCCCACCTCGTCGATGTCGCTGTAATGCTCTTTTGCCACCGCTTCGCTGCCCCCAACAAAAATGTCGCCGATCCTCAGGTGCTATGTTTAGCTGCTGGGCCTACCTCGCCAATGCCTCCTCTGCTGATGTAGCAGCTGCCAATTCCAGGTCGTGTGCTTGCTCTGGAAAAGTAGGTAGGGGTCTGATTCTCCTCTGCGCTGGGCCCCCTTGAGCTCTGTGCCCTGGGCCGGCTCAAATCCCCAGTTATGGACCACAACCTGTGCACAACTAATTTCTTATTAGCAGGTGGCACCTTTAGTGTATTAAAAGAAGTCAATGTGTTTCACAGGAGGGCAATCAACTAAAAGAATGCAATGGAGTCACTCAACAAGATACAAGGATGTGTCACTGGAAATTCAGTTAGAGCTTAAGAGAGAAAATAAACGTGCTTTTGTGCAGTACCTTTCTTGATCACCAGCTGTCCTAAAGCAGTTCAGAAGGTAGAAGTGCTTTTGAAGTGTATCCCCTGCTGTAATGTAATTTGCATAAGCAACAGTAAGATACTGACCTGATTAACAATAATCTCTTTCGAGGGGCAAATATTGGCCAGGTTGGCAGAGATAATTCAAATGCTACTCTTTGAAATACATAGTTGATTTCTAATTTCCACATCAGAGGGCAGATGGACCTTGGTTTACCATCCCACCAGAAAGTCAGCACCTCCCACAGTGTAGCTGTCCCTCAGTCCTGCAGTGTCAAACATGAACTTTAGGCTCAGTTCCTACAGTAAGACTTGAGTCCTTTTGAACTTCAAAGTCTAGTGTTGCTATAGTTAACACTTTTCCTTATTCATTCATAGGATGAGGGCATCACCGGCTAGACCAGCATTTATTACCCATCTCTAATCACCCAGAGGGCAGTTAAGAGTCAACCACGTTGCAGTGGGTCTGGAGTCACAAGTAGGCCAGACCAGGCAAGGATGGCAGTTTCCTTCTATAGAGGACATTAGTGAACCGGATGGGCTTTTCCTGATAATAAACAATGGGTTCATGGTCACAGAAACATACAAACACAGAACATAGGAGCAGGAGGAGGCCACTCGGTCCTTCGAGCCTGCTCTGCTATTCTACACGATCATGGCTGATCGTCCAACTCAATAGCCTAATCCTGCTTTCTCCCCATAACCTTTGATCCCATTCACCCCAAGTGCTATCATCAGTCATCATTAGACCCTTAATTCCAGATTTTTATTGAATTCAAATTCCATTATCTGCAGTGGCAGGATTCAAGCCTAAGACTGCAGGATATTACCTGGCTGTCTGGATTAACATTCCATGATAATATCACTAGACTGTTGCCTCCCCTTAAAAGAAAGTCAATGGAGATTGTAAGGCTGAATATATGTGGGCATAATTTTATGTTTTCTTTGGTCAGGTCCGAATCATATTGAGTTTTTTTATTGAACAATTCCCACCGTGAGGCCTGGTGAAATTTTTTCACCATATTTTACAAAAGTTGCCTCATTAACAACCTACCCCACAAATACGGAGTCTGTCAAGTGCAACTCTGCTCCCATCTTATTCTCCATTCAACCCTGAACAACATGCCATTCAGCAGATGTCCCAGAATCCACCAGCAGCCTTGCATCAGCGTCATCTTTAAAGGCCTGTTGTGCAGATGGACAACCACCATAAGACCAGAACTACCCTCTTCACACAGAGAGTGGTGGGTGTGTGGGATGTGCTGCCGGCAGTGGTAGTGGACTCAGATACTTTAGAGACTTTTAAGCGACTCTTGGATAGGCACATGGAAGATAGTAAAATGTAGGGTGCAGGGTAGATTGACCTTAGTAGGATAATAGGTCGGCACAACATCGTGGGCCGAAGGGCCTGTACTGTGCTGTACTGTTCTATGTTCTATGTTCTATGTACCCTGCATATTCCTGGATGTGGTAGATAACAGGAAAATCGTCATCGGGCTTTGTGGGCAGGGATATGCCGGTCCTGCTGGATGGGGTGGTACACAAGTGAGATTTCCTCTTCCTCCCACAGGACCAGCAGTGGATGTCATGACACCAGCCCAAGCCAACCTGATTTAAGGTCGATACTGGAGTTAAAACAATCTCAGCCACCCAGTGCGATGCACAGCAATGTAGGGAGAAGGTTGACACTCCTTCAGAATAAGGACTACCATCTTCTCTTTGATACCTTGCAGTCACTCAGTCTCTGCTCCTGTACCCACTTCCCACAAAGGCTCATTGCTCTACCATTCTCATTAGTCCATGCCACATCTTCTTCACTCTCTGTCCCACACCCCAACTCCCAGCACCATTCACCCTGCATGTCCTTTGTGCTGCCTACTCACTGGCTCTGGACACTTCCCCACCTACACCAAAAGTAACAGCCACTTTCATCTCCATTAATAGCTGCTTATCTCTCATCCTAGTAGGGCGGAGAGAGTCAAGACGGGTGGTGGGCTGCCCAACATTCAGCTCGTCATCTCTTTATGTGGGTACGACCTTAACTCTGACTGCTCTGAGTAACTGACTGACAGTGTTCAAGCTCCTGGAGTGGTAACAGAGACTTACTGTGTGGGATCCCCCTGAGAGAAGGCTACTCCCCCTTGACATGACTGAGGGCTGATGACCATGACAAGCTTCCTGGCTTGTATCTGTGCTAAACAGCAAGGCAAGGCAGAAGTATTTTGAGCCTGCTATCTCTGGCTGAGGGGGCAAAGTGCTGAAAGGCAAGGCAGGGCAGGGATACTGTAAGCATTGAGGAAGGCTGATAGTGAGGGTGCACAAAAAGAGTAAACACCTGAAGATGCAGCCTTGTCCAGCCCATGAGCTGGGTGCGTATCCCTTAGTGCACTGTGTCCTTGCTGCAGCATTGCAATGAGAGTTGCCAGCGTAAGCCCGTTGGGAAAGTGCACTGTAAGTAGATCAGACATGGGCCCAGGAGGTATCTTAGAGGCTGGCACATGTCAGATGCTTAATGCCCGTGGACATGGGCTACATGCGGCTGGCACCCATGGAATGTGCCCTGAAATGTTGGCACCTGGTGTCCAACATGGAGGTTGTTCAGAGCAAATGGCGAGCTGAATTCGCCAGGTACATGCTCTGGTTTCCCATGTTGTTTTCCTTATGTTTAGCTGGT